TACAATATGCTTTTTACATTTTAGGACCCACTTTCCTATGCATTACCTGCTCTTTCACAAGTCTGTAACGTAGGCATCTGTATTTTTTACATTGATAACAGAGTCTCAGAGAGGTCAAACGATTTACCTGACCACTATACCGCTGCTTAATAAGTGACGAGGGTGTTACGCAAACCCGTCTCTTCTGAGCACGAACCAAGGAACAAAACATTTTGGGCGGGCATTAGGCCCGTCAGAACGAGGCAAGCACACTCAGCAGGGGGCAGATTATTTATCCAAGAGAGAGACATTGTGAGGGTAAATGACTCGGCCCGGCATTCAACCCCAAAGCAAAAACAGCGGAGGGTCTCCAAAGGTTCGAAGTTTGAGAAGAGGCTACCAGGAGGATGGAGACTAGCACTCACGGGCAGATCCGAAAGACTTAACCTGGAGGGCTCCCCGAGCAACTGGCCGAGGCACGAGGGGAGCCCCACGGGAAGCACGCGGTCACACGCCGGCCCATCTGCAGGACTGACCGAGTCTGGTGTCGCCAGAGGCTTTATTCTGCCGCGAATGGCCGGTAAGAGACATCGAAAACTGCCGGTAAACGTTCTGAGCGTGCCCAGCTTAACTTCTAGGGACCCCCTGGCTGGAGAAGAAAAGGGCAACGGTTACCTTGACAGCCGCTCCCCATGAGCCCGCCATCTTGCCTCAATCCGGGTCCTAGGAAACAAGCTCCACGCGCCTGTGGGGCACTCTGGGAAATGTAGTCTCTCAGGAAAGAGCTCCGGGTGCCGCTGGAGGACCGGAATCCGACCTTCATGCTCCTACATTTAGTTGCAGCAGCTTGCCTGCAACTTTACCCGCGTCACCTGAAAAAGCTAAGTCACTTCCCCACGCACACATCCTTAGAAAGTAAGCACTATTTTTTTTTTTTTAAGTTTATACTAACAGAGGAACTGGAGATCGCTCCTTGGTGAATGAGTTAAGGTTTCCCAGAGTAAGGAGCATTTCAGAGAAGCACCGAAAAGTGGTGGGGTTGGATGTGACGTTTGAAATGAGAGTGGGGAAGGCCTCCAATCCGAAAACCAAGCACTAAGTTCTGAGAACTGTGCTGGCTGTTGGTTAAGGGAGGAAAAAAATGTACAGAACCCCGAACTTTGCCTTTTATCTTGGGTAGAGAAAAGGCTCCTGGGCTTTAGCACTTTCCGTTCTCATTGACAGCAGTGCTCACACTTCTGACCATTGCCTTACATTATACAGGTCTTGCTCAACTATCATCTCAGAGAGGACCACACCGTTAAAATAGTCTCACTCACCCTTGTCCCACTGCCTTCCTTTATTTTTCTTCATTACATTTGCTATTATATATTATTTGTTTGTTTAATGTGTTTCATGCTAGAATGCAAGCTCCAAGAACAAGATAAAAAGTACTTATCTTGTTCTATATTGTATACGAAGTTAACATGTAGAGCTGTGCTTGGCCTCATTGTAGGCTGCCAGTATCTGTTGAATGAATGAAACAATAATATTGCAGATATCCAAGATCGTAGATGATCGACTGCTAAAGCAGCAGTTTAACCTAGGAAGTAATTTCCCCCATGATTTGCTAAATTTTGTATTTATGCACATTTTTCTGAAAAGGATTCATAGCTTTTATCATGTATTCATGGGGGTCAATACACCCCTCAAAAAGTTAAGGGCCATTGTCTTGAAGTGATTAATTTTAAAAATAAGTAAATATAAGTTCATAATAAAGAAAAATAAATGTAGTTGCTGTGGTGTCTGTCCTCAATTCCTACAGAATATCAGGCTCATTCTCCTGCTAATCTTTGCGCCTGTGGAAGCCCACACTGAGGGCCCGTATGTCCTTTCTAATTTGTCCATCCTTCAAAGCCATCCTGTAATGTCTTTCTGGACTATACTGTAGGAAGGGATAGAGAGGAGAAACAGATTTGAATAAATAGTCAATCAACTGCATTTGTCAAACATTCACTGTGCAAAGCAGAAGAGGGATAGATCGAAGATGACTCCAGTGGCTGTCTTTATGACTATGAGCAGAGTGGAGATGATTGACAGACAGGGAGACTCACTTAATGGGGCCAGGAAAGGTTCACTTAATGAGACCAGGAAAGAAACCAACCATATGCATGGGAAAGAGAATAGAGACAGCTCTAGGCTGAAGGAACAACTTAGAAGTCTAAAGCTTCTATATGCTGGAGTATGGTGTAGAGGAGAGTAGCAGGAGATAAAATAAAAGCCAGGTCATGTTGGGCTTTGTGGGCCTTGATGGTGATAACATAGAATTAGAACACAGGCCATAGGTATAGATATTATTCCAAATGCAGTAGGTGGTCACCAAAGGGTTTTAACACAAAAGAAGTGACATGATATGATTCATGTTTTTAAAAGATTACTTTGGTGGTACTGTGAGGAGTGGCAAGACTGCAAGTAATTCTGATGAAGCTATTGCTTTATTGTAGTCAAGTTAAGAGATGAAGGTGATGATGCAATGGAGGGTGGCAACAGTGGAGATGAAAAGAAGGGAAGAGAGTCCAGTTATGTTTTGAAAGTAGAAATGATGAGAGAACTCACTGATAGATTGATTGGATATGGGAATTGAGAGGAAAAACACTTCAGGTGGCTCTTTGATGACTAGCATGAAGGTGGTGTGATTCATGAGATGGGGAAGATTGAAAGAGGTTTGGTGGATCTGACAGGGGTAGAAATGAATGATTCTACTCGAGAGTTGTTGAGTTTGAGATATCTCTGTGATATCTCAGAGATATAAAATGAGGCAGGAGTTGGACAGACGTATTTGGAAAATAGAGGTTATAGGCTAGACATAGATTTAAAGCCATGGGAATGTTGAGTGCACATAGAGAGAATGTAGAAAAAAAGAAAAAGGAGTGTAGGAAAAAAAAGAAAAAGGACCCAGAACCAACCTGAGGGAATTCCCACATTTAGAGGTCAGGTGAAGGAGAACAGCCAGCAAGGACCTCTCAGAAGTGTCAGGGAAAGCGCCCATGGTGTGAGAGTAGCAGGTAAGAGAGGCATGTCATGAAGTGTTTCATAACTTTAGAGTTCAGTGCCAGCAAATTTAAAACTATAATTTCCAAAAAATACAAACCTGAAATGCCAGCAAATAACTTACATTATCATAAAGACAAGAACTAACAAGTATTGGAGAGGATGTGGAGTAAAGGAAACCCTCGCACACTGTTGGGGGAAATATACTTTGATGCAGCCACTATGGAAAACAGTGTGGAGATTCTTCAAAAATTAATAATAGTACTACCATATGATCCAGCTATTTCACCGTTGGGTATTTATCCAAAAAAATATGAAAACACTAATTTAAAGAGATATATACACTCCCGAAGTTTATTGCAGCATTATTTACAATAATCAAAATATAGAAAAAAACCTATGTGTCCATCAAGAGATGAATGGATAAAGAAGATATGGTACACATAAACACACACACACACACACACACACACACACACACACACACACACACACAATGAAATACTACTCAGCCATAAAAAGGAGTGAAATCTTGCCATTTGTGACAATATGGATGAAACTTGAAGGTACTATGCTAAGTGACATAAGTTAGATGGAGAAAGACAAATACCATATGATTTCATTCATACACGGAATCTGAAACAAACAAACAAACAAAACAGAAACAAACTCATAGATACGGAGAACAGACTGGTGGTTACCAGAGGGGAAATGGGTTGGGAGGTGGGCAAAATGGGTGAAGGGATTCAGTTGTATGGTGATGGATGGTAACTAGAATTTTGGTGGAGATCACTTTATAGTGCATACAGATGCCGAATTATAATATTGTACACCTGAAACATATAATGTTATATATCAATTTCACCTCGATTTCAATAAAAGGACTTCTAGGAGACTACATTTATTTGAAACTTACTTAACCCAAAAACCAAGATTCTTGTTTTCTAATAAGCATTGAATGTTCTTAAGAAGTGTTTGGTTTGCCCTGTTAAGATAAATTGTATACCTTCAATCACATTGATAAACGATTCCACCAAAAACTGTGAGGAATTTATAGCAGAAACTGCTAGTTATTCCCCAACAGAGGTTTCTCCTTTTCCTCCTTATTAATAAAATCCCTAATCTTTGATCAGGTATATGGCTACTCAGAATTTTAAAATCCACATTTCCCAGCCTCCCTTGCTATCACGGATGTAGTCATGTGACTAAGTGCTGGCCAGTGAGATGTAAGCAAATGTATCTTGCGGCATCTTTGGGTTTCTACCTTAAAGACAATTGGTATGCACTTCTTGTCCCATTTACTTTGCCCTTTACTCCATCCTTTCTCCTGGAGTGTGGATAATATTATGGTCACTATCTTAGAATATTAGGATAAAGACCTTGACTTTGGAATGATGGAACAGTTAGCAGGAAGGAGTCTGGGATTTTGTGGACTAGAGCTCCCAGTTCTTGAACTTCCTACTTTGAGATATTTACAAAAGAGAGCAGTAAACTTTTATTTTGTTTAAGTCAGTGTTACTTTGAGCCTCTTTTACTAATAGTGGAACCTAATCCTAACTAAAATGACAGAATGAAAATAATTCAAATCACAAATGATTCAAGAAAAATACATCTAAAGGATTAGTACTAGTTAAATTGTAAGTTCCTCCATAATAATAAGTACAATACAAACCACAATTTGTAAGCTACTTTTCCCTCAAAAGCTCTCTTTAAAAAATCACTTGAAATCTCTAAGTGATTTTTACATTTCTGTCTTCTCTACTCATAAGATCTTAGGCTTCCTGCACATAGGCCCATCTTATTTCTAATTTGTATAGCTCTTAGTGGTCCAGCATAATGGTAGGGAGGAAGTACAGTATAGAGCTGACAAGTGGATTCTGAGAATCTCTCTGCCTAAATTTGAATCTTGACTCCCTTACTTCCTAACTATATTATTTGGAACAATTTATTTACTTAAAATTTTTGAGTCTCAATTTATTCTTTGAGAGGCAATAATTCTACTTTATAGAATTGTTGACTGCATTAAATAACAAGATAAGTAGAATGCTTAGCAAAGAACCTGATATGTAGTAAACGATGAATGCTAGAATAATTGTACCTTGTAGGTGCTTAATAAATACGTAATACATTTTATAAGTATCTTGCCCAAGGAGATTATTTATTCCTTAGGCATTAAAATATAATCTTTTCCTTTTGCTTGTCAGGAATAATCTGATAAATGTAATTAAATATAAAAAAACCAAATTGTCTAAAGTGGAGAGTAATGATTTCTAGCTTTAAGTTGGTATATCACGTAGGGTCTCAGCAGAAAACAGATGACATACTCAAATTGGTATAATTCCAGGAGGGTTTATTTACAGAGGAGTTCTTTACAGAGGTGTGAGTAGAATCAGGAGTAGTAGTTGTAATATAACCTGGGCTTAGTAGCACTAGCACTGGCTGCTCCTTCCAGGCCAAAAGGGACAAAGAAAGGGAGCAGTTGCTGGACCCCAGAAGGAGAGAATCCTATAGTTGGCTATTCCGAGGGGAACAGTGGTCTTCTGTTGAAGGGAATAGCCAGCCTGCGGTGACGTCGCCAGGAGAATCCCTGGGTAATAATTACTTGACCTCCCTATCCTTCCCCTCCCCAGCCCCCTGCAGGGGA